CATCATGAACAGCATTTGCACATGTTCTTCGTGGGAGTAGTGCTGTGCATGCTTAATTTCCATATAAAACTTGTAATTGTCGCATTGCTATTGTCACTTGAATTTCAACAATGGCAAGACATCAACTGAGCATGACAGGAAGAGCTCTTGCTTGGCTTCAAGATGGTGAACCTCAATGCGGCGTGTGGCTCAGAGACTAAATGTGAGTCAGAGTGTAATTGGAAGGTTATGGCACCGGTTTCGTGTCACTGAAACGCTGAATAATCGACCACGTTCTGGCAAGAGAAGACCGATACCTGACAAATATGGTCCTCCGATATGCAGAGTAACTGCCAGACCACTTTGTGACCAACTGAGAGCTGCCACAGGTACCGTGGTATCTGATCAGACTGTCAGGAACCGACTGAGGAAGAACGATCTTCGGGCACAGCGACCAGCAGTACGACCACCACTCCTTCAGCGACACACTACGGCAAGACATGACTGGTATAGACGCCATGTTTGTTGGCAACGTGTTCAGTGGGCATCAGTTCTTTTCTCCGACGTGTCTATGTTAACGCTACAGTTTAATGATGGTAGAACTTGTGTGTATCGGCGTCCAGGAGGTTTGCTAACATTAACGTCAACCAATGTTTGCCATTTGGAGGCAGGGGTATCATGGTTTGGGGTGCGTTTTCCTTTCACCAAAGGACACCTATCTATGTCATTAATAGTAACCTGACCGGAAATCACTATCTACGGGGAGATTATCAGACCTCTTATTTTGCCATGTTTACAAAGTATCACCGTCGGATCCATATTCCAAGATGACAATGTCCGACCACACTGTGCCTGTGTCGTGATGGACTTCATTAGACAGAAAAATGTTCAGCACATGGAATGGCCGCTATATTCAGCAGATTTAGCCCTTATGGAACATGCTTGAGTTATGACATCGGCTTCGTAACAACCATGCCCCTCCGAACAATCATGCAGAACTGGTCCAGTACTCATTGCAGAAGGGCAGGCAATACCCCAAGCCTTCTTGCCAGGTCTGGTGAACAGTACGAGACAGAGGTGTACTGCTTGTCTTACTGCTCGAGGTGGTTACATCAGTTAATAGTCCAATGCTGGCGTTTGAATTTTCACTTCTGACACTAGGTCACTTTGACCTTATTGATCAGCAATAACTGACATTCCTGCTGTTTTTGTTTCCTGTTACAGTTATCATGAAATGTTAACTTGAGTTCTTATATGATCGCTACATTTCACTGTTATTTATATTTGTAGTTATGGCCATTAAAAGTTTTTACCCTTAACTTGTATTTGAGTAGTATATATACAAGTGATATGATATAAAATAAGGTTTAAAAGTACAACTGCATTCGCAACACAAATCATAATATGGAATCACATATAATATTACAAATATCTGTCAATCAATCACACATACCAACCATACAGGCATGCATTCAAACTGACTAGTCATTACCTATAAGTTGCCAGATATTTCATTGATAATGTTTAGGATTGCATTCAATACATAAACAATACATATACTTACAATAACACAGTGATCTGATAGTTCATCTTCAACTATACATATTTATAAGATATATTATGTTTCAGGTAAATCAAGTCTGACTTACATGCCACAATAAGTTATATTTCTAATTATAGTAAACAAGAAACTGTTCTTATATATACAACATTTTATACAGACTGAATGAATGTTTATTTAGACCAAAGGTCAATCATTTGTACATTCAATAATGATTTAACATATGCACATGTGTATAACATTTCTGGGGCGGTGGGGTAGCCTAGTGGTTAAAGCGTTGGCTCGTCACGCCGAAAAGACCTGGGTTCGATTCCCCACATGGGCACAATGTGTTAAGCCCATTTCTGGTGTCCCCAGCCGTGATATTGCTGGAATATTGCTAAAAGCGGCATAAAACTAAACTCAGTCAGTCAGTATAACATTTCTCCCACAGCCCCACTCCCCTCCCCCCATGGCAGACCCGTAAGATGCATAAAGATTCAAACAAATTCAGCTGTTGCTTTCTCCTTAAATATATGATACACAAACATTGACAAATTAAGTATAACTCCAGCACGTTCGTCTTGCATCAGCTCAACAAATTTAGCCATACTTGGATATTTGTAAACTGACCTTGATATATATCTTTTTCTATAAAGTTCATATTTAGGACAAACCATCACAACATGGTATTCATCTTCAATGTCCTTACAGCAAAATGGACATAATCTTTCATTGAATTGTAATTTCAATATGAACCTACCTTAAATCTTTCTAAAAGCCCCCAGGTTGTGAATATAACCTTCCTTATGAAGTACAGGACAGCATGTGAGTTTAAAATCTTTACATTGAGTTAAGCTGGCTGTGACCAGCTTTGCCTATCAGTGAAACAATAGAACTGACTGTGAGCTGGGGCAAGTATTGTTTTAAGCATGCAGTGTGACAATTAGTGGAGGTTAGACTGAGAGTTACTAAGCTTACTCTGCAGAGCTATGGAATGAGAATAAAATAAAGTATAAAACATAACTAAGATTCTATCATTCTACCATATAAAACATACCTAATAGTAATATTCTTACAGATGTCTTTATTGTTTAATAGAGTAAGTAATTAAAGGGAAACAATGGCATCCACCTTAATACTTAATATAATCTTCCTAACTTTAATTAAAACTATGTACATATGTATATATTTGAGTCTGCCACATTAGTCATACCTTTGTTAGTAATACCTTTGTACTGATTTGTGAACTTATTTGTGAACCTGCTATTTGCAGGTTTTTGTCTTTGTCTTAGTAACTGTCAAATCTATGGGGGCCAGGGGGATTTGTCATCTTCTGATGACTCTTGTCATTTACAAAGTTTGTTCACCTCCGTCAATACGACATCGTTTTCACTGGGCACAAAAATGAAATAGCAGTTATGCAATGCACATTGAAAATCCGATTTTCTTGGCCTTTATTTTTCGTACTTTGTAGGACGCATTGACCCATTGACCCCAAGATCCCCCTTATGGCAAGGGACTAATATGCAAAGGGAAACCATTCTCATCTTGAGTATGAAGTAAGATTAGTAAAACCCAACTCACTCGCTCACTCTGACGTTGAATCGGTGAATAACTCTGTGTTGTTAAAGTGTCTATGCAAATCATACAGTGTTAACGAAATAGAAAGGCAGTCTTTGAATGTAAAGTACATTATTTGTGTTAAACAGACCCTGACTTGAAATGCCATTTCATCAAGTACATGGCTTCTTTTGATTGGTCCGGACCAGTTGAAAGTTTCGATTGAAGCTTACATTAAGTTGCAATGATCTTAGCTTACAATCTGTATGTGCAAGCGGATGGCAATTGTAGCCAAAATGTAACATTGTGATCTGAAGGATGTACAATGACTTCAGCAAGGAGTTTTATGCAAGTGGGTCCAGCACCAACCAATTTCCCTCTGGTATATTCTAGCAATGACGAGTTGTGAGCTGTACAATTCTCAAACAATAGTTGTCAATACTACCACTTTTACATAAAAATTACTCCCAATCACCTTCTCATTCTTCTCTAGGTTATGAATTTTGGTAATAGGTTGCTGATTGATAGGAATGTTTTCTTGGCAGCTAAGTGTGTGTAGTGTTCTGAGAGAGGATTTCAGTTGAAAATACTGAAGATGAGTATTTTGTGATTGGAGAGAAAATACCTGGATTTATGCTAATTATGTAATGGAGATACTATTCCTAGAATTATTAGTGCCGGTTATTATTTGATATCAATCTATAAACGAACATCAAATGTCCAGTGACCATGATATGAATAAAAAACACTTTTAAATGAAATTAAAATATCGGATCATCATTGTTCAATATTTTGTTGAGCAGTGATTTGAAGGTTTTATGGTGCTGGCAAGTCAGTGTCAGAAACAGTGATTGTAAGGTAACTTCATCACCAACAGTCAGAACAAAGAAACAGAAGTCATACGAATCATGTTGATACCAGAATAAAAGATTATATTGGCTCAATTGCCATTCTGAATCATTAAACTTTCTGTGTATATCTGTTTAATTTTTTTTATTGCTTTCATGTTCTGGTTATATACCGTATATTACCGTAGATAAGCCGACCCCCTAACTTGACTCTTAAAATCAGTTATATATTTTACTGATCACTGCGTCAGAATTCATCCCATTATATTATTGTGTATGTTTTAACTAAATCACCGGGAAACATGTGCACAGCTGATTGCTACTTCCGGCAGTGCATACAACACAAATACACACGGTAATCTTAATCCCTGCAAATAGTACAATGCCCAGCAAAAACAACTTGTAATTTGAAAGGTAAATAATCTTGTCTAATGATGTTTAATTGCCAATTTGATGTCTTTACTGACAAAGTTGTCTTCTCTTGTTTGTTTGTTTGTTCACGCGAAGCGATACAGTACAATGTCATTTTCTTACCCCCAAGAATAAAGTTTGACGAAAGTGTAACCGATAATAAGCCGACCCCCTTCTACAGATTGCTTTTTTTGGTCCTCAAAATTCGGCTTATCTATGGTAATATACGGTATGTTCTAAATTTCTAGACACAACTTCTTGCTTCAATGTATCACTTTGATATTTGATTGTGTATTTACTGAATATGATTTTTGTGCAAAAACTACAGCAAAGACATATTCTTTGTGCATTCTTGTTTGCCTTTGTTAAATCTTTCTGAGCAAATTTGATGTTCAAGGAAGATTCAAGTTTGCTACAGAGCCTTGTATTTTTTAAAGTCTGATTTTGCTAATCCAGACAAATATATTCAGGTGAGCTACAGAACCTTGTTGCCTGGTATTTTTATTTGTAGTGCAAATTGATTGAAGTTTCATCTCTCAGGAGTGATGCAGGCAGGACCCCTTAATTTCATTCTCAATTTCCAACAGTGAAACTTTGTGCTTTTTTCCATACATGTATGCTCCATCATTAAAAATTGTTTTTGGTTTTTGTTTTTATAGGATGAATTTCACCCGTTCATTGAGGCCCTACTGCCGCATGTGAAGTCATTTTCTTATACCTGGTTTAACCTTCAAGCTGCCAAGCGCAAATATTTTAAAAAACATGAAAAAAGAATGTCAATGGAGGAAGAAAGAAGGGTAAAGGAAGAACTTCAGGTAAACAAAATATGCCAGAATGAAATATTACCAATATCATGCATGTTAACTTTATCTTATTGGTTTGGGGCAAATGTAAAATGTGCTGCAGGTGCAACTTTCACAAATACAACATCTTCCTTGCTATTAATCAAACCCTAGAGATATCCTTTGAGATTGCTCTTATTATTTCAAATAGCTTCCCAGAGATGACCACCATAGCAGACAACTTTTATTGTTCAAACAATAAGATTAAAGATTTCATCCTTCACAGCCAAACGAAATACACAAAACAGCTGCATTTCACTCTTACAGTAATGGACTACCCAGTATCAAGTAACATGAAACACTCAGTAGGTGTCAAGAAACATTGCTCTATCTTGGTCACTTTTATAAGCTGTCAGTGGCAGAAGTGTCTTAAGAAATTTACCACAGCTCCACTTGGTCCAGCCTTTCCTCTTTCATCAGCAGTCAAACTGCCACTTCATCCTTCCTCCCTTCTTGTACTGCAAAGAAGACTCCTTGGCAACATTTTTCACACCAGTCACTCTGGTGGACCCAACTTTGTGATGATATTAGATCTTCATGTAAAAGAAATCGTCCCATCCTGAAAATCGCTTCTACCCTGTCTGCTGTGTTTAAACGGATTGCATCAATTCTATAACTCAAAGGTCTCAATCTTCCCTAAGCTGTGTCTACTTCTTTGCGGTTACAACTTGAGGATCAGACCTTGGATAAATTCTCTAACATTCCTTGTTGTGATGTGGAATAAAATGTTTGATCAAGTTCAAGCAGGCCCTGGGCTGGGAACCTGCAGCCTTACAAAGCTGTTTTTCTTTTCATGTGATAACCTTTTTGCAATGGAAAGATTTTACATTTTAACAATGCAAAAAATAACTTCTTCTGTTATACCGTTTGACTGATAAAGCTGATATGTGGCATGCTGGTTCACCTTTAGAACCATTTGCAAACAGCAGAATCCGTGTATGAATGGGATCTCTATCTCAACAAAGATTTTACTGTCAAACTTACCGTTGTGATGATTCTCTCCAGAATAGACTACTGCTATATTAACAAAAACCAGATAGAATGATTTCAAGCCATTCAGACCTCTGCTGCAAGCATTATCTTCAGATCTTCAAAGTTTGACCATATAGGGGGCCATTACTGAAATCCCTCCATTGACTAACCGTAGCTTCTCGGATGAACTTAAAAATCCTTCTGACTGCTTACAAGTGCTACCATTATCTGGCTCCATCTTACCTGCAAGAACTGCACACATTCTCTCCATCTAGATCTTCTCGATCTCAGCACAAGCATCTCTTTACAGTTCCAAAGTATAAGACAGTCACATTTGGTAAAAGAACCTTCACCTACACTGTCTACATCCCTCAAAATAACTGAAACCGTGTCATCCTTTAAAAATAATCTAAAGACTTAACTCATTCGAAAGACATTTCTCTAACAATCACCTTATCTGAACAGCGCACAGAGCACACTATTTTGTGAATAGATGCACTATAAAAATGCACATATTATTTATTTTTATTAATGACTGAAAGAAGATGTGCGTTAGTTTATGGCATCATAATTTGCACTCAGCATCTTATAAACAGCAGTGTTTTAATATTTCTAGACACTTTTGCACCAATTTTTCTTTCACACACTGTAGATGTTTGCCATTAACATGAAGTTGAAGTGTCATAAATGTTATTATCCGAAAGTCTTCTACAGTGACTCATGACATAAATTTCAGCTGACCAGACCAAAAGTCACGAAAGCTTATGTCATGTTTGCTTGGCATCTGCCATCAGTCAGTCGCAGAAATCACTGGGGCATGAAACTTTGAATGCCCATTCCCTCAAATGATGTATCCTCAATTTGTTTATGAGGTTCACATCTTATTTTCAATATATGTGTGACCGCAGCCATATATATAACCATATATACAGCTTTTTGTTGCTGTTACAAATCATTATTGTACAAAAATGCAGTTAATAGTCCGGCTCAACATACTTGTGCCATTTTTGCCAAAACATAAATTCAAAATGTTGTTTTTACCTTTTGTTAAGACTGTGTGCCTAAATTCTCAAACTGCCTTCCTTTGCATTGAAAACATCATCTCCTCATAAACTACTTGTACAATGAAGCTCCAAGTTCACATGCCTGTTCCAATGAATGAATTTGTTCAGGCAGTTTGAATGTGATTTTCAAAATTGCCCCAATGGCAACTTTATTTAAGAACCTATTTATGGTCACAGCTCCATCATATATGCTCAGAATATTCTGTAATGCTCTTAAATTCCCGCAAAATACACATTTTGTTCTGTAAACATCTGACTGAGGAAGCTGAACTTTTGTAATTATCTTCTCATGATGATATATTTTAGATGCTTGATTGGCATTTTAGAAGATGCTATTTGATGAACATCGAGATTTTTCTGGGTTACATCTTCTTGGTTACATCTTCTTTTTATTCTTGAGTACAACATTTCAGGGCTTGTTCTGAAACAAGTTTTACTTGATGATGGGGCCAGAACAAGCCCTTAAACGTTGTACTGAAGAATAAAAAGAAGATGTAACCAAAATGATATAACCCAGAAAAATCTCTATGTTCATGATATATTTTGTCAAAATGTTTAGGCTTTTTCTGTTTTAGTGTCAATGTCTTTTAGGCTTAGATTTGAAAACTTGTATATAGTAAATGTAACTGTTGTGCTTTCAAACAATTACCCCAACCATAGTTCACTCTTCCTGGTTTTGGATACTTTGTGAAAAATTAGTTACTTGTTCCTTTGGTAACATATGTTATATATGGGATTCCAATTTCTTAGTAAAGTATGGATTCTAGTTCTTTTGTTGGGTTGAGTCCCAGTCACCTAACCCGCTCAGCCACTGGTGGCTGACTTTGTGTGCTTGCGATTAGAAGCCTGACTCTGAGGGTGTGGGTTCGAATCCCGCATGGGACTCAACCCAACAAAAGTACTAGAATCTGTACTTTACTCAGAAAGTGTAATTCCACATATAACATATATTACATTTGACCACTTTCTAAATGGCATTGTGTATTCATTGTTTCTTTGGGCCTCTATATTTATTCAGTTAATATTTCAGTAGCAATGCTAACAGTACTTTTTGTCTTTGTCAACATTATGAACAGTGTCATGGCACTAACTTCATCATTTGTATTTCCAAATTATGCTGTGAACTACATTGCAGTTCCTTAATATTCTAAAAAAAGACTTTAAGGTTGTCAGTAATTCATTGTTTGTAATGTTGTTTTCAGAATGAAAAACCTGAAGTAAAGCAAAAATGGGCATCTCGTCTCTTGGCCAAATTGCGGAAAGATATTACTCAAGAATGTAGAGAAGATTTTGTTTTAAGCATCACTGGAAAAAGGCCGCCAGTGTGTGTATTGTCCAATCCTGACCAAAAAGGGAAGATCCGACGAATAGACTGTCTCAGGCAAGCTGACAAAGTGTGGAGATTGGATCTTGTTATGGTCATCCTCTTTAAAGCAATACCTTTAGAAAGTACAGATGGTGAAAGGCTGGAGAAATCACCTGAGTGTATGCATCCAAATTTGTGTGTAAATCCACATCATATCAGTGTATCTGTGCGAGAACTAGATTTATACTTGGCAAACTTTATTCATAGTTATGGTGAGTATGTCTCAATTTACGCATGTATTAGTTTCATAGTATACATTGGTCTGAAAATGAGTCCAAGATGTTTGAAAGCTAGGTACACCCTTTGATCTTGTAACTTTGTGGACCTTTCACTGGAGATAGTATCAATAAACAGGGAGAAACCACAAGAATATTTTACAAGAAAACAACTGTCAAATCAGTTTCGATGATGCTTTAAATCCAGAAATATAGTCTCTTGCCCAGTTCATCTCTTATACCCAAGTCTAGTTGAAGCTGGGACCTCAGGAGTTCCTACTTCTCCTGTACAAGATCAGGCATGGAACATTTAATTTTGAAGGTATGAGTTTTCTTAAACAAGAAGTCACATTTACAGACAAAAATTGCATGTAGACTGTTTCATAAACGTGAGAATTGAGCTTGAGAATTTGTTATAACCTGACTCATCCTGTCAAGTGAGTTTATGTAATGGTGCAACTTCCATTCTTCCTTTTTTTTATTTCCGAAACATAGTTCATAAATTGATCCATATAATTCTTGAGAATAATCTCCCTCAACATCACTGTCATTATTTAATTGATTTTATGATCATCATGATTAAAGGATCTTCAGATTTTCGCCAGACATGCTTCACCATTACTTATCTTTTATGTGTAAGGCAGGGGAAAAATACACACTTCTTTCCTGTGTGAAGTGTTGTCAACATATTAACAAGAATAATTTTCTCTAATGTTTGAAATAGTGCCCAGATTACAATATTTTCATGCCTTTGGAGTCATATGTGGTGTGGAATCTTCTTCAGACGAGAATTTCTCCTGCATGACCTTTCAAGAAAGTATTTTGACCGTATAAATCGACAATTATCCCTCTCACAAGAGTCACATCTCATATTACATAAAGGCCAGCAGTTAAGGGAAGGTCATATTTTCACCCCGGATATCCAGCGAAGGTTTATTTTGGAATCTTGACAGGTTGATATTATCTTTGTCTTCCGAGCTATTACCACTGATTTTACATTTTATACTGCTATTGTGGTTTGTACTGGTTTCTATTGTGTAATAACTTTTCAGTAATTTGTATTGATTTGTAAACCTAGTTAAATTCAAAATAGATATAGTTAATGGTATAATATTTCTTTGTTCAGTTTAAAGTTTTTGAAGGCTCCTCAGGTATCGAAATTTGATATCTCAAACTTAATTTTGAAATATTGTGTGAAACTTATAATTACTATAAATTTAAAAGTGGAGAAATCTGCTAACCAGTCTTCTATAGAACAAGTGTTTACTGGTGGAACTGGCCAAAAATTCCAAGCTTGACATGAAATCAGGCATACTTTATGCTGCTGTCAAAGACATTTTTATCACTCCTCTGGTTGAGCAATTGTGCTGATGATGGTTTGGCTTTGGCTTATTGAGGAATAAGACAGCTTTTTGGTTTTGAAGAAATTAGAATTAGAAAGAGAAAAACTTGCCATGAATTTGCTTAAAAATTATAATTAAAGCTGAAACAAAAAGAAGAGAGGGAATATTGGATTCTCTCTCTCAGTTCCCTCTCTCTCACTCGTTCAAAGTTTGTCTTTAAAAATCTTCTCTCGCAGGGCATATTGTATCTGAGTGTTAAAAAACTTGCAGTTTAAAATTTTATCTTTTTGTGGTTCAGGTTTCAAGTTCACTTTTATTGTTCAGTCTTCATTAAGTCTTCAGTTGATCAAGGTTCTGGGGGAAGACTTGCACTGAGGGTCTCTTTCTTTGGACTGACTGACTGACTGAGTTTGGTTTTCCTCCGCTTTTAGCGATATTCCAGCAACATCACAGCGAGGGACACCAGAAATGGGTTTCACACATTGTACCCATGTGGGTATTCGAACCCGGGTCTTCGGCATGAGGAGCCAACGCTTTAACCACTAGGCTACCCCACCGCCCCCTCTTTCTTTGGAAGAAGGTGACATGTTTGTTATTATTTCAAGAACTGCATTTTGATGGAAATGGAAGGGTTTACAGGAAATTATTCTTCCTTTCAAAAACATATCATGACTTTGGCACTTAAAACTCCTAGTTTGGCAGGGCATTATGATGGAAATAAACTTGTGACTAAGTTCTGTCGCATTTCTTTCACTCTAATTTGTGGCTGAATTTTGGAAAATCACTCATGCATGCCCAATTGCTGGCAAAGTTTTACCTTTGATGTTTGGTACACTTCATGGTGTGAAAATGGGTAAACTGCACTTTACGGGTCCCCGGAAGTTTACGCTACAGACTTGCGCAGGAGCCATATTTACATCGAAGCGAGCACTAACACTGACGCCATTTTTTGTTTAGTCCAGCTAAATACAAGATCTCTGTTTTGGCCTTGTTTTAAGGCCCATTAAATTACCCTTGGATACTAATCGATAATCTTCACTAGCCCTTCGTTCCTCAGCACTGTTTTAGGGTTAGTATTATTTTCTGGGTTTGTCAATTGCAATGTTGATGCATAATTTAAGAAGACGCTGACATAAAAATACCCCAGTAATGTATTGTTTTGTTGAAATGAAATATTTTAGCCCTTAGATGCTTCAATGTATTCTTTTTCCATTTTCATTTACAATAAACAAAAAAGGTAAGTTTACCTGATAGCACATCATCCCCAGCGTTAGGAAAACAAATATCAAAACACTTCACTTACCTTACAAGAACAAGTCTGCGCTTGAATTGAATTCATCCGTGTTTTCATTTTGCATGTCATTTTCTTTATTTTCATTTTCAACGGTTTGTAAAATATTCATCGTTTTTTTGAGGGTCAAATACACGGCGGATAAAAGTAAGAAATGTAACAAAAGGATCATCAGAACAACGTAAATACTTCTTCCTCACAATGTACTCCACAAAATAACTATCATATAAGCCTTTCGTAGTTCCATACCTGAGCAGGGACGCTTTCACCGCACTCCACGTACTCTCAATTTTATTAGTGCACGCACCATTCTCTGCATTCACAAATTCCTTATTATGATTCACTGTCACATGCTCATATCCCATCTCATTCAGTCTAGCATACACCTTCCAACAATCAGAATGAATTATCGATCCCTGTCGCACCCACTTTCTCAACACACTCAAAAAAGGTATCCGCATCACGCTTCTCTACAAGTTCCAAAAACATCCTGTTACTTTCTTTCTCGATAACCCCCAAACACCCAAACACCATTCCTCGGTGAAACTTGCGCTTCCCAAACTTACTCTCATCAATCTCCACTTCAATCCCTGGCCCACCTATCATCTCATTCTCCTCTTCCATCACAAATAAACACACATCTCTACAATAATTAAACCAGTCGACCAAAGTGTGATCAGACCCCAGACGCAACTGCACTTTCACAAAATTCTCTCTCACTTGATAAACCCAATAAAACGTCAATTTCATAATTTCACTAACGGACAAATGAGACCTAAAAAACCAAGAATTTGGCCTCGCTACAATTTTATAATTGCATTTTTTTATTTGAGCAACGCCACACATAACCCTCACTCCGACTCGAATCCTTTCGCTTTGCCATACTCCCATTGTCACACTTTACACACTTCCCACTGAAATTTCCTATCAAACCAAACGCTTCCAACCAATCCTTCAGCTTTCTCTCATCTCTACTCACTTTGCCATACTCCCACTGACACACTTTACACACTTCCCACTGAAATTTCCCATCAAACCAAACGCTTCCAACCAATCCTTCAACTTTCTCTCATGTCTACACAGCTCATACAAATCGTCATACACCATCTTCACAGCAAGTCAAATAAACAAGTCAAATAAACAAGATTGAAATCAAGCGACACGCAAAATACAACTCACCAACCGTGCGCGTTAAAGTTGTGGCTGTCGTAGTAACCCACTACCTTATTTGGAGCATTCGACACGTGCGTCCACAATTGACCAATCAGAGAAAAGGAACGTCATCGGGATTTCCCCTTGATTACTAACGATTGGATTGATGTTTTGGAGCATTACTAAAATTCGTGTTTAAAACTATTGTCTTTCAGACGAAGTTTTAAATTAAACTTTTGCCAGTAAACACGAAAATGACCTCTAATTTCGTCTAAAATGTCTCCTAACGGAGATCAGCCCGCTCTCGCGTGCTTCTCTATATATAAGACGTGCAGCATGCGTCACTTACTGCCGAAGGCAGAAACACGCGCCTTTTGGCATTTCTACTCCGGGTGCGGGGACCCGTAAAGTGCAGGTGTCCCACGTCATAAAATAATTCAATAGTTCACTCCCTCATTTCCCTACATACCTGGGCATACAAATTTAGTGTGTTGGATTTAGATGACACTGTGCCTGTGAAACAACATCCCTTTGGGACTGATATAATCAAACTTGGAGCCCTTCAGGAATTGCAGAACATGCAACATTGAACCAAGTCATAGTAATTTTAGTTCCCTTTGCATTCATGTTCATAAGCCTGATTGTAATTACTGATGTTGTACTTCTGGTGGCCTTATCAATATGCTCCAGTCACCTTCTAGCATCTCATCAGTAGCAATCCTACATTGATTTTGTCATCAAAAGAGGATACGTGCCTTCTTAGCGAGATTCTTGGAATCAAAGTGATTTGGGGAAAATTTTTACTCATTCTTGTCCATCCTGTTCTCCAAGCACCAAATTTTGAAAAACCTTTCAGATTGGCCGAAGACGCTAGCAACATGGGTGCTGGAACTGTCCTGTTGCAGGAAGATGCATCAGGTTTTTATTATCCTGTTTGTTATTATTGAGAACAAGTTTGCAAATATCAGATAAATTATTCCACCATTTGAAAAGAAACTCTTGAAACATTGTTATTTGTGCAACAATTTGAAGTGTGTTTGGTCACTACGTTCATGTTCCTATTCCTATCACAATGCACTTACTGTTCTTCATAAATGAATGACAAAAATCAGTGCCAAATGAATTTGTTTTGGGAGGAATTTGATTTAGACATCAAGGCAAGGACAACATCAGTTTTGCCTGCAGGCGTTTGCTTTTTTGTAAACGTTTTA